AGATTGTAGAGTTCAGGCACTGCTCAGAACATGTATGCAGCCTTGACCAATTTCCCTTGAATTCTGATGCTCCTATTCTTCCTTAAAGTTGGGGTGAACAACTTTTATTTTGCTTTTTTTACTGCTTTGGCTCATACTTAGAAAGGCGGATACAGTGGTACCTCTGGTTGTGAACGGGATCTGTTCTGGAGGCCCGTTCACAACCTGAAAAGAACGCAACCCACGTCTGTGCATCTGCGCACGCACGGGTTGCGATTCACTGCTTCTGTGCACGTGCATGGTGTCATTTTGCGCGTCTGTGTATGCTCAAGTGGCAAAACCCGGAAGTAACCCTTTCTGGTACTTCCGGGTCGCTGTGGGATGCAACTTAAAAATGCGCAACCTGAAGCAAACGTAACATGAGGTTTGACTGTACTAGAGTCTTCTACTGAGGAGAAGCCCCAGTGGATAGTGAGCTCCCCGTTCTCTTCTCCTAAGTAGGTAATTTGTCCATGGAGTTTTCTTGGCAAGGATACTGGAGTGGCTTGCCGGTTCCTCCTCCAGGTGGATCACGTTTGGTCAAAATTCTCCACTATGACCTGTTCATCTTGTGTGCCCTGCTCGGCGTAGTTCATAGCTTCTCTGAGTTCTTCAAGCCCCTTCGCCACGGCAAGGCAGTGATCCATGAAGGGGGCGACAGAGGACGAGATGGTTGGATAGTGTTTTCGAGGTTACCAGCATGAGTTTGACCAAACTGCGGGAGGTAGTGGAGGACAGAGGTGCCTGGCCTGGTCCATGGGGTCATGAAGCATCGGACATGACTAAACAACTAAACAACAACAATTCCCCTCAGAGACAATTCTCTTAGTTCCTTATGAAAAGGAATTGATTGTTAAATCACCCGGAAACTGTAGCTCTTAGAGAGAAACAGTGGTCTCCTAACAACTATCCACACCCTTAACAAACTACAGCTCCATAAAGCTTTGGAGGAAGCCATGGCTGTTTAAAGTGGTATCATCACACTTTATGTATGTGGTGTGAATGTGGCCATGACTGGGTGGGGTTTACTTGGTTCAGAAACCTTTGCTAATCTTTAGTGGATGGCTTCCCTCCTTGGACATTGGACTGCAGTTCTGTGCTGCTCTTTTTCTAGCCTGATATTAGTTGCCTTTGTGGCTTTTACTTTATTATTTTAAGTGTAGATTGTGTTTGTTTTAATGGTTATGTTTCTGTAACTCCTCTTCAAGCCGTTTGGTGAAAGGTGAGCTGTACATGAAAATAATCCACGAATAAAGCTGGCTCCTGCCCAATGTGTTGGACTACAACTCCCAGTAACTGGCTGTGCTGGCTGGGAGCTTTAGTTCAAGCATGTGGAAAGCACCAGGTTGATGAAGACTGCAATCTGGGACTACTGATTTTGACAGCAAGCCCTGCATTTGTCATAGCATGTGCAGTGCTTCACAGAGCGCAGATTCCATGTTTAACAACCTGAATAACATGGTCTGGTGTTGCCAGACCTGAAAAACACCCAAGGATACATCTTTTTCTTAGCGCATTTCATAGGCAGCAGACTGGAAAATATACTGTGAGAGATGTGATGATCAAGGTGAAATATTAATACAGTGAGATATGCAACAGAGGGTGTTTTTTCATATTCAGAAGGTA